GCCAGCCTGCTTGCGAAGATGCTCTTCCCTCTCTTCGTTAGGTGGAGCCCGTCTCTGCCTAGCACTCCTTCTTGGAACACCATCCCATGGTCAAAGAACCCAAAGCCTTCTCTCCGACACCACCTGCGTAGCCATTTGTTGACTACCACCATTCGACGGTCTCTACCCCGGCCTTTTCCTTCCACAGGGAGGATGGACGAGAACACCACTTGCGCCTCAAACTCCTTTATCCTTCTTCCCAGAGCCACGTAGTCCGCAGTGATCCGCTCAAGGTCATTCTTGGCAGTGTCATTGGTGCCCACGTGGAGAAGCAGGAAGGGGCAGCGATCCGAGGGCTTGATGAGTCTCGGCAGTCTCTCCGTCTGTGACGAAGTGGGACTGTTCTTAATGTTTCCTCTGAATAATGTGGGGGTGCCTCAGTTTCCCCTATGCAGTTCTAAAGTATCTAGGGGGTGGGGTAAGGGTGTATGATCATTGCAGAGCCCTAGAGGGCAGGTGTGTGCAGGGGTCTGGACACAGAGAATGGCCGACACCCTGTTTCCTGGCCACTGATGGCCTGGGCCCTTCCCCCCTGCAAGGTGAGAGCTAAAGGGGTTGGAGAACAAAGGAATCAGGTGCCCTCCTGGCCGGGAAAGGGACAAAGCCCTGAGGAGGAGGGGCTGGAGATGGTTTAAGTTTGGGGCTGGCTGGGGACATGGAGTGAAGTGCAGACGTGGTGGTCTGGCTCACTGCCCCCAAAATGGACCCAGCTGAGGGGTCCTGTTCTCTGCACCTACAAGCTCTGTGTTAGACCATGTTCCTGTCGTCTAATAAACCTTCTGTTTTACTGGCTGGCTGAGAGTCACGTCTGACTGCGGAGTTGGGGGGCAGGACCCTCTGGCTTCCCCAGGACCCCGCCTGGGCGGACTCACTGTGGGGAAGCGCACAGAGGGGCAGAGGAGGCTGAATGCTCCAGGGTCAGACCCAGGAAGGTGGAAGCCAGGTGAGCTGTGTGTCCTGCAGACAGGCTGCTCACAGAAAGGAGACTTCCCCAGAGTCCTGCCTGACTTCATGGGGAGCAGATCCAGAGCATCGCCCGGGGGACTCCGTGACACCGTCACATTGTGAATCCTAGCTCCTGGCAAGCAGCAGACTTCTCGGTTTTCCCGGTCGGGCGGCAGATAGATGACTCAGTCCCCCTGAGGAGAGAGTCCCCGACCACCACCACCCGCCTCCTCCTCTTGGGAGCGGTGGTTGTGGAACCCCCAACCCTAGGACAGTGCATCTCATGCCTTCCAATCGGCGGAGTCTCCTTCTGTTCCCTTCCCTCAGATGTATCATCTAGTCCACTCTCCACATTAGTACCTGTGGAGAGAACATGAAAACGGTTGCTTACCTGTATCTGCCCTGCTGGTACATGGACGCTCCCCTTTCTTCTTCTGGAGGTCAGATGCTGCCAAATTCCTTCACCATCTTCCTGTCCCCATGGCGCAGCCTGCTCTGAATCTTCAGAACATTGTGCCCGTAGAAGCATATCCTGACGTCTGTCCAGGAAATCTTCAGTTTCTCTTATGCAACGCAGGGTTGACACCTGTTGCTCCAGACCTTGAACCTTCTCTTCCAATATGGAGACCAGCTTGCACTTTGTTAACACGTCTGGCCCCTTTATTCCACCTCAATTAATACAGCAGGGACTGGCAGGCCATTCTCCCCTGCGGTGGTGGTGGTGAGTCTGGGGGCAGGGGACAGATGCCCTGGCATGTCACTGCCCCCTTCGGGGCTGGGGGCAGGGAACAGGCACCCTGGCAGGCTGTTCTCCCTGGGGGGCAGGAGTCTGGGGGCAGGAGGCCAGCGCCCTGGCTCACCGGTCCGGCTGGCTGTTGGCCCTAGCGCATGGCTGGGACTGAGCTCTCTCACTTTTTGCTGGGGTCCCCCGCTCAGCCTCTCTGGACCATGGCGCCATGCTCTAGGGGTGCCCCCTACCCGGTGTGTCCCCTGCTGCTCCCAGGCTCCATGGGCGGGGGCTGCTCTCAGTGAGTGGGGGCCATGCACAGTACAGGGCAGCCAGCCCCCGACTGCAGCCTGCCCCACAGGCCAGCTGGGACTGTGCCCTGGGCGCCCTCCTGGCACTCAGCATGGGGCAGGAGCATGTCTGCAGGGCACAGGCTGGGCACCACAGGCCAGCGGGGGAGTAGGGGGCTAGACCAGGACAGCTCTGCTCAGCACTGGGGGTGTGGGCGACACAGCAGCTCCAGGGTGCCTGGGTGGGAGCCAGAGGGTTCTCTGTGTGGAGCACACACTGTACCCGCTGCAGGACCCAGGCTCTGCCTGGCAGTCTAAATATAGCCTGGTATCAGGGTGAGCTTCCTGCTAGGGAGCGGGGCCAGCTGGGGGTGGAGGGGCTGCCGGGGGCAGGCTGTGGGAATGTTTGTACTAGTTTAATGAACAAGTTGCATGACTCAGTTTCCCCATTCTCTGTGTTTTGCTGCCCCGGCGTGAAGGGATTTCTTTCTCCCCCGGACGGGGCTGAGGCCGGGCTGGAATCAGCCCAGCAGCGTGAGAGGCTCTGCCCTCACCCTGGAGGAGCTAATGCCCCTGGGTGGGCGGGCACGCTGCGCTGGCAGTCGAGGCGGGGAAGGGGTGGAACAGCTGGGCTGCAGCTGGGGGAAAGCCACCAGCGGGCTCCAGGCCTGTCCGTAGCTGGGCTCCTGACAGGCGCCCAGAGACCCGCAGGCCTGGGAGAGAAGGGGACGCGGGGGCCAAGGACGAGGGGGCAGTTGCTTGTGCCAACATGGGCTCTGACTGGAGCATCCTGCCAGGCTGCCAGACGGGCTCCAGCTGCTGGCTAATAAAGAGGAGAGGCTGCCCCATCACCGGTCACCCTGACTGGGTGCATTCCGCCCTGAGGGGGCCGCTTTCGGGCCAGGGTCAGGATGCACTTGGGCCCTGGAGAGAACTGGGGGAGTCCTGGGGCCATGGGGCCTGCCCTCGGGAAGAGCCAAGGGCATAGCGGGGTGTTCCCTGGGACCGGGCAGAGAGCTGGGGCTGCCGGGGGCCCGTCCTGGAGACGTTTCAAACAGGAACAGACACATGTTGCTCATTTCCTGGCTTGTTGCTACTGTCCCCTCGCCTTTGCCTCCCTGCGCCACTCCCCTGCCACCACCCAGCCCTCCTGCCTTCTCCCGGAAAACCCACCTGCCCCATCTCCCAGCCCCGGCCCCCCGCTGCAACCTGCACTGTCCACACCCATCATTTCCCATAAACCCCTTGTCACGGCGTCCCCGGGCGATGCTCTGGACCTGCTCCCCATGAAGTCAGGCAGGACTCTGGGGGAGCCTCCTCTCTGTGAGCAGCCTGTCTGCAGGACACACAGCTCACCCAGCTTCCACCTTCCTGGGTCTGACCTCGGAGCATTCAGCCTCCTCTGCCCCTCCCTGCGCTTTCCCCCAGCGAGTCCGCTCAGGCGGGGCTCCTGGGGAAGCCAGAGGGTCCTGCCCCCCAACTCCGCAGTCAGACGTGACTCTCAGCCAGCCAGTAAAACAGAGGTTTATTAGACGACAGGAACATGGTCTAACACAGAGCTTGTAGGTGCAGAGAACAGGACCCCCTCAGCTGGGTCCATTTTGGGGGCAGTGAGCCAGACAACCCCGTCTGCCCTTCACTCCATGTCCCAGCCAGCCCCCAACTGAAACTCCCCCCAGCCCCTCCTCCTCAGGGCTTTGTCCCTTTCCCAGGCCAGGAGGGCACCTGATCCCCTTGTTCTCCAACTCTTTAGCTCTCACCTTGCAGGGGGAAGGGCCCAGGCCATCACTGGCCAGGAAACAGGGTGTCGGCCATTCTCTGTGTCCAGACCCCTGCACACACCTGCCCTCCAGGGCTCTGCAAGGACCATACACCCTTATCCCACCCCCTATACTTAAGAACTGCATAGGGGAAACTGAGGCACCCCCACACTATTCAGAGGAAACATTAAGAACAGTCCCGCTTCGTCACACCCCTGCTCCCACACTGCCCTCGTATGCATGCTGCCCCTGCCCCAAGGTACCTGCCACTCTGACACCCCCCCTCAGGCCTCCAACTGTCCCCTTCCTTGAGGTGGGATCCTGCAACCCCCTCTCTCTCCCTCCCTCCAGACGGCTAGTGCTTGGGTGACGCAGGCGAGCTGTGCGGGAGGTACCAGCGCAGTGGCCCTGGCGTGTGGCACAGAGTCACCAGGAGCCCAGGCCGCTCCCCTGCAGCGACGTCAGCCCCTGAACCTGGGGGGCTGCAGGTGCACCCACCCGGCAGGCCTGGAGTCACCGGCACGCGCTGGGGGCAGGTGCACAGGCCCTGGCTCGCCTTGGCCTGGCCACCCTCTGCCGGCTCTCCCTGCGGGACCTCGCGGCCTGGCCTGCGAGCAAATCTGGGCAGGGTCCGCGGCTGCGGGGGCCGCTCCCCTTCCGGTCTCTGCCTCTCCCCCCCCCCCCCGGGCCTCCTGCGGGCCTCCCCGGGACAGCACCGCAGAGCCACTGGCTGCGATGGGGAGGAGCACAGGGGCCTGCCAGGACCCAGCGTCACCAGCCGGGCCCGGTGGAAGCCGCGGCCTCCAGCCACTGCCCGAGCGTCTCCCGTGTCCAGCCAGGCCCAGGAGCCAGCGGCTGGGTCTCGGAGAGCGCCTGGCCCTCCGGCTGCCCCCGGGCTCCGCGCTGGAGCCAGGCCCCGCCGAGGCAGCAGTGTGACTCAGTGTCACCCGACGCCGCTGACAGCTGCAGATAAAATTGGCTCTGGGATTCCACGGGGCCCACGTGGCCCGGCACAGAGGGCTGCTAAAATTAGCGCCCGTGCTCACCGCTGGGGCTGGGGCTGGGGCCGGGGCCGCGGCCGGAGCGGGCAGCGAGTGCAGACGGGCAGGGCAGCGGCTCTGGGGCAGGCGGACGCAGGGAGCTAGGGGCACCGGTGGGGCGAGGGCAGGCCAGGGCCAGGCAGCCAGCCCAAGGGGAGGCCGGGGCCGAGCCGGTGGGAGCAGGCGCGGGGCACAGGGCAGGGCTGCGGGGGCAGGGCTGGGCCGCGGGGATGAACTTTGCGGTGGGCTTCAAGCCCATGCTGGGGGACTCGCACAGCACGGACAGCCTGGAGAAACAGCTGATCTGCCCCATCTGCCTGGAGATGTTCAGCAAGCCTGTGGTCATCCTGCCCTGCCAGCACAACCTCTGCCGTAAGTGTGCCAACGACATCTTCCAGGTGAGGCGCAGCCGGGCAGGCTGGGCGAGAATGCGGGGCGGCGGGGGGAGAGGCTATGGGGGATGGGAGGGGATGGGGACTACGTGGGGGGCTGGGAGCAGCACTGGGGGATGGGATGGGGGGCTGCGTGGGGGACTGGGAGCAGCACTGGGGGATAGGATGGGGGGCTGTGTGGGGGACTGGGAGCAGCACTGGGGGATGGGATGGGGGCTGCATGGCTGTCTGGGAGCCGCACTGGGGGATGGGATGGGGGGCTGCGTGGGGGACTGGGAGCAGCACTGGGGGATAGGATGGGGGGCTGCATGGCTGTCTGGGAGCCGCACTGGGGGTGGGAGGGGATGGGGGGCTGCGTGGGGGACTGGGAGCAGCACTGGGGGATGGGATGGGGGCTGCATGGCTGTCTGGGAGCCGCACTGGGGGTGGGAGGGGATGGGGACTACGTGGGGGGCTGGGAGCAGCACTGGGGGATGGGATGGGGGGCTGCGTGGGGGACTGGGAGCAGCACTGGGGGATGGGATGGGGGGCTGCGTGGGGGACTGGGAGCAGCACTGGGGGATGGGATGGGGGCTGCGTGCGGGGCTGGGAGTGACACTGGGGGATGGGAAGGGTGGCTGCATGGCGAGCCAGGCTGTGCTAAGAAACTTGTCCCTGGGATTTTGCTCCCCACTGTGATTACTGCCCCCCACCCCCGCAACACTCTCATCCACCTGCAGAGCCTGGCCAGAGTCGGTGTCCCACGTCCGGCCCTGCAGTGGCCCCCAGCCTTGTCTCCCCTCCGTGCAACTCCCCACCCCACGGCTCGTCGGGGGGGGCTCTGTGGTTTTCCGCAGCTCCTGGCACTGCCTGTGGCCTCCTCACAAGCCTGCACGTCCCATCTCTATCTCCAATAGCAATTGGCCTCCGCCCTGGGCTCCTGCCGAGCGCCCGGTCTGGGGCTCCCAAGGGCACCCTGGGGACCCCGCCTCTGCAACCCCCTCCGGAAACGTAGAATCATGGAATCATAGAATATCAGGGTTGGAAGGGACCTCAGGAGGTCATCTAGTCCAACCCCCTGCTCAAAGCAGGACCAATCCCCAACTAAATCATCCCAGCCAGGGCTTTGTCAAGCCGGGCCTTAAAAACCTCTAAGGAAGGAGATTCTACCACCTCCCTAGGTGACCCATTCCAGTGTTTCACCACCCTCTTAGTGAAAAAGTTTTTCCTAATATCCAACCTAAACCTCCCCCACTGCAACTTGAGACCATTACTCCTCGTTCTGTCATCTGCTACCACTGAGAACAGTCTAGAACCATCCTCTTTGGAACCCCCTTTCAGGTAGTTGAAAGCAGCTATCAAATCCCCCCTCATTCTTCTCTTCTGCAGGCTAAACAATCCCAGCTCCCTCAGCCTCTCCTCATAACTCATGTGTTCTAGACCCCTAATCATTTTTGTTGCCCTTCGCTGGACTCTCTCCAATTTATCCACATCCTTCTTGTAGTGTGGGGCCCAAAACTGGACACAGTACTCCAGATGAGGCCTCACCAATGGCGAATAGAGGGGAACGATCACGTCCCTCGATCTGCTGGCAATGGCCCTCGCGGGGCTGTGGGTGGGGCTGGTGGGGCCCTGGCAGGGCTGTGGGTGGGGCTGGTGTGGCTCTGGTGGGGCTGTGGGCGGAGCTGGCAGGGTTGTGGGTGGGGCTGTGGGTGGCAGGTGCGGCCCTGGCAGGGCTCTGGCGGGGCTGGCAGGGTTGTGGGCGGGGCTGGTGGGGCCCTGGTGGGTCTGGTGTGGTCCTGTGGATGGGGCTGGTGTGGCTCTGGTGGGGCTGTGGGCGGGGCTGTGGGTGGGACTGGCAGGGTTGTGGGCGGGGCTGGTGTGAGGCTGTGGGCAGGGTTGTGGACGGGGCTGGTGTGGCCTGGCAGGGCTCTGGGTGGGGCTGGCAGGGTTATGGGTGGGGCTGGTGTGGGGCTGTGGGTGGGGCTGGAGGGTTGTGGACGGGGCTGTGGGTGGGGCTGGCAGGGTTGTGGGAGGGGCTGGTGTGGGGTGGTGGGGCCTGGCAGGGCTCTGGGTGGGGCTGGCAGGGTTGTGGAGGGGCTGTGGGTGGGGCTGGCAGGGTTGTGGGCGGGGCTGGTGTGAGGCTGTGGGCAGGGTTGTGGACGGGGCTGGTGTGGCCCTGGCAGGGCTCTGGGTGGGGCTGGCAGGGTTGTGGACGGGGGGTGTGGGGCTGTGGGTGGGGCTGGTGGGGCCCTGGCAGGGCTGTGGGTGGGGCTGGCAGGGTTGTGGACGGGGCTGTGGGTGGGGCTGGCAGGGTTGTGGGAGGGGCTGGTGTGGGGCTGGTGGGGCCCTGGCAGGGCTCTGGGTGGGGCTGGCAGGGTTGTGGACGGGGCTGGTGTGGGGCTGTGGGTGGGGCTGGTGTGGCCCTGGCAGGGCTCTGGGTGGGGCTGGCAGGGTTGTGGACGGGGCTGGTGTGGGGCTGTGGGTGGGGCTGGTGGGGCCCTGGCAGGGCTCTGGGTGGGGCTGGAGGGTTGTGGACGGGGCTGTGGGTGGGGCTGGCAGGGTTGTGGGAGGGGCTGGTGTGGGGCTGTGGGTGGGGCTGGTGGGGCCCTGGCAGGGCTCTGGGTGGGGCTGGCAGGGTTGTGGACGGGGCTGTGGGTGGGGCTGGCAGGGTTGTGGGAGGGGCTGGTGTGGGGCTGGTGGGGCCCTGGCAGGGCTCTGGGTGGGGCTGGCAGGGTTGTGGACGGGGCTGGTGTGGGGCTGTGGGTGGGGCTGGTGGGGCCCTGGCAGGGCTCTGGGTGGGGCTGGCAGGGTTGTGGACGGGGCTGTGGGTGGGGCTGGCAGGGTTATGGGTGGGGCTGGTGTGGGGCTGTGGGTGGGGCTGGCTGGCCTATTGGAGGGGCTCACTCCTCTGAGCCGGGCAGCGCTGGCCCCTGGGCTGCCCCCGTCGCGGCCCAGCCCTGGCCTGGCCTGAGTCTGTGACTCTGCCCTGCCCTTCCCCTGGGCGCTGCTGACTTTGTGCCAGGCGCCCGGGGCTGGAGCCCGGAGGGGCAACCCCAGGCTGGGTGCCCAGGTCTGGGCGGGCGTATTGGGGTCTCCCCCATGGCCTCCTGGCCCCGCTCCCTGACTCGTGCCCGTTCCCTGCCAGGCGTCCAACCCGCTGTGGCAGTCGCGGGGCTCGAGCTCGGTGTCGTCGGGGGGGCGATTCCGGTGCCCCTCCTGCCGCCACGAGGTCGTCCTGGACCGGCACGGCGTCTACGGGCTGCAGCGTAACCTGCTCGTGGAGAACATCATCGACATCTACAAGCAGGAGTCCACCAGGTGCGGGCAGAGGCCCGCCGAGGGCCTGGGTCTGCTGGGGCCGGGGGGGCCAAGGGCTTGGGGGAGTGGAAGATCTGTGCGGGGGGGGGGGTCTTGAGGGGTCAGGGAGGGGGCTGAGCGGGGTTTTCCTGAGGGCGGGGGGCGATTCTGGGCTGTGCGGGGCAGCTGTGGGGCACACGGATGGAGGGGGCCCTGTGGGCCGGCGGGGGGGCCGAGCAGGTTTTTCTGAGGGCGGGGGGCATTTCTGGGCCGTGCGGGGCAGTTGTGGGGCACACGGAGGAGGGTGGGGACCCTGAGGGCCGACGGGGGGGCTGAGCGGGGTTTTCCTGAGGGCAGGAGGTGATTCCGGGCCGTGCGGGGCAGCTGTGGGGCACACGGAGGAGCGGGGGGGCCCTGTGGGCCGGCGGGGGGGCTGAGTGGGGTTTTCCTGAGGGCGGGGGGTGATTCCGGGCCGTGCGGGGCGGCTGTGGGGCACACGGAGGAGCGGGGGGGCCCTGTGGGCCGGCGGGGGGGGCTGAGTGGGGTTTTCCTGAGGGCGGGGGGAATCCGGGCGTGCGGGGGGCTGTGGGGCACACGGAGGGGGGGGGGCCCTGTGGGCCGGCGGGGGGCTGAGTGGGGTTTTCTGAGGGCGGGGGTGATTCGGGCGTGGGGGCGGCGTGGGGACACGGAGGAGCGGGGGCCCTGTGGGCGGCGGTGGGGCTGAGTGGGGTTTTCCTGAGGGCGGGAGGTGATTCCGGGCCGGGGGGGGCTGTGGGGACACGGAGGAGCGGGGGGCCCTGTGGGCGGCGGGGGGCTGAGCGGGGTTTTCCTGAGGGAGGGGGTGATTCCGGGGTGCGGGGCGGCTGTGGGGACACGGAGGAGGGGGGGGGGCCCGTGGGCCGGCGGGGGGGCTGAGTGGGGTTTTCCTGAGGGCGGGGGTGATTCCGGGTGTGGGGGCGGCTGTGGGGCACACGGAGGAGCGGGGGGCCCTGTGGGCCGGTGGTGGGGCTGAGTGGGGTTTTCCTGAGGGCGGGGGGTGATTCCGGGCCGTGCGGGGCGGCTGTGGGGCACACGGAGGAGCGGGGGGGCCCTGTGGGCCGGCGGGGGGGCTGAGTGGGGTTTTCCTGAGGGCAGGGGGTGATTCCGGGCCGTGCGGGGCGGCTGTGGGGCACACGGAGGAGGACGGGGGGCCTGTGGGCCGGCGGGGGGGCGCAGGGAGCGGGGCCCATGCTCTGCCCGTCGCCCAGGCCCCTGCACGCCAAGGCAGAGCAGCAGCTGATGTGTGATGAGCACGAGGACGAGAAGATCAACATCTACTGCCTGACCTGCGAGGTGCCCACCTGCTCCCTGTGCAAGGTGTTCGGGGCCCACAAGGACTGCGAGGTGGCCCCACTGCCCAGCGTCTACAAGCGCCAGAAGGTACCTGGGGCTGCGTGCCACGGCCTGGGGGGCCAGGGACCGGGGCAGGGGGAGCGTGGCTCGGGGAGGGGGCGTGGCGGGGGCCCCGTGCCACGTTCTCCTCTGCTGCAGTGGGAGCCCATGTGGCCGTGGGGGCCCTTGGGCTGTCCTGATCCCGCTCAGGGGCCGGCCTGGCCCATCCTTGCTGGAGCAACAGGAGTGGGGCAGCCTCACCCCCAGGTCTTTGCAATTCAGCGGCTGCCTCCCCTTCTGGGCCAGGGGCAGGTCTCTCCTCCCCAGGGGGCGCTGAGAGGCCAGAGCTGCCCCAGGTGCAGGCTCTGTGGGGCTCCTGGCAGAGGGCTGGGGAGTGGGGGGGCTGGCAGGGAGCCTGCAGGACCCAGTCTGCGCTTGCTGAGCTCCCCGTGCATTCATTGCTGTGGGGGCTGCTGGCCAGGCCCCCTCCGGCAGCGTTGGGGGGGCTGCCGCCCCGTGCCCAGCACTGACCTCCCCACCCCCTGTGGCAGAGCGAGCTGAGCGACGGGGTCGCCATGCTAGTGGCTGGGAACGACCGCATCCAGGCCATCGTGACCCAGATGGAGGAGATCTGCAAGGCCATCGAGGTGAGGGGTCCCTGGGCGGCCCCCGCATGGGGTGAGAGCAGCCAGAGGCTGTGGGCAGGGGGAACTCGCCTCCTGTGGGGATTGGGAGTGGGCTCTCACCAGGAGCAGCCTACGGCTCTTCAGGGTCTTCATCAGGGACCTGGCAGCAAAGATAAAAATCCCTGCTGGTCAAATCTGCCAGGGACAGTGGAGAGGTAAATAGCCCCGGGTCAGCAAGGCCTGCATGGCTTGCGGAGCGGGGCCCTATACCTTGTAACCTAGCCAAATGCCAGGCCCTCCCACCTACGGTCACAGCCTAGGTTCCATGGGGCTGGGGGCCGAGCCGGGAAGGCAGGGAAGCGCTCCTGAGAGAAACCAGCTGGCCCAGCATAGCCCTGTGTGATGCTGTAGCTAAGAGGGCAAGTGCGCTCCTTTGATGTACAAGGTGGACTAGCAGATGGTGTTCACTCTCCAGACAGGGACAGTGAGCTGGGATCTGGGGCCTGCTCTGCCAACGGGAGGTTAATGGACTGGAAAGGGTTCAGGGAGCAGGACAGAGGGCTAGAAAATCCGCTGGCTGCGGAGAGCCTGAAGGAGGTGGGTCTGACTCTCTCGCCAAAGAGACGCCTGAAAGGTGACTTGCTCAGGGTCTGCTCGCACCTGTGTGGGAAGAGGTCTGTGAAAGCAGACTTCTCTTCCATCTTCCAGACCGTCGAACATGAGCCGCCGGCTGGGAGCGAGCACTACATGAATTCAGCCTAGGAACAAGGTACAGATGTCTAATAGGGAGGGTGGGACAAAGAGGGAATTTTCTGTAATATTTTTATGATGCTGGTGTGTGCCTCAGTTTTTTCTTTGTGTAGCAGTGTTACCCAGTGGTGGGAAAGGGACCGTTTGCTCTCAGGACAGGCTAAGGAACGGAGGTGGGAATGGCGCCCAGCAATCTGAGCCTGGTGGGTCATTACAAAGGACTGGCCGAGGCTGACCTCACATCAGTGGCTGATCCGATCACCGGGACATTGACACCAGGCACCCAACGCCCCAGTGGGAGAGGGATATAAGAGCAGGGAGCTGGAAGGTGTCTGGGGCAGGGCGCTCACCTGGAGTCTGACCAAGGAGGTTGGATGGAGAGACAGACAGAGCTTGAACCAAGGGGGTCACTGCAGCTGGGCTGGGCTGTAACCGTCAGTTCTCTGGGCCGCCCGAGGGGCTGCCTGGGCCATGCGCCAGGTGACCAATAAACCCGCCTGGTTTCACAGCGCTGGGTGAGTGGCCCTGCAGACACTGGGCGAGGGGCACTGATCCCTGAGGAGAGGACACGTCTCCTCCAGGGTCTGGCTCAGTTACAGTCACTGAACAGAGCTCAAGGGGTGAAACAGGAGGTTTGGAGCCCCAGAAGTTCAGTCTAAGGAAAGGAGGACTTGTGGCACCTTAGAGACTAGCCAATTTATTTGAGCATAAGCTTTTGTGAGCTACAGCTCACTTATCATAGAATCATAGAATCATAGAATATAAGGGTTGGAAGGGACCCCAGAAGGTCATCTAGTCCAACCCCCTGCTCAAAGCAGGACCAATTCCCAGTTAAATCATCCCAGCCAGGGCTTTGTCAAGCCTGACCTTAAAAACCTCTAAGGAAGGAGATTCTACCACCTCCCTAGGTAACGCATTCCAGTGTTTCACCACCCTCATAGTGAAAAAGTTTTTCCTAATATCCAATCTAAACCTCCCCCACTGTAACTTGAGACCATTACTCCTCGTTCTGTCTTCTGATACCATTGAGAACAGTCTAGAGCCATCCTCTTTGGAACCCCCTTTCAGGTAGTTGGAAGCAGCTATCAAATCCCCCCTCATTCTTCTCTTCTGCAGGCTAAACAATCCCAGCTCCCTCAGCCTCTCCTCATAACTCATATGTTCCAGACCCCTAATCATTTTTGTTGCCCTTCGCTGGACTCTCTCCAATTTATCCACATCCTTCTTGAAGTGTGGGGCCCAAAACTGGACACAGTACTCCAGATGAGGCCTCACCAATGTCGAATAGAGGGGAACGATCACGTCCCTCGATCTGCTCGCTATGCCCCTACTTATACATCCCAAAATGCCATTGGCCTTCTTGGCAACAAGGGCACACTGCTGACTCATATCCAGCTTCTCGTCCACTGTCACCCCTAGGTCCTTTTCCGCAGAACTGCTGCCTAGCCATTCGGTCCCTAGTCTGTAGCTGTGCATTGGGTTCTTCCGTCCTAAGTGCAGGACCCTGCACTTATCCTTATTGAACCTCATCAGATTTCTTTGGCCCAATCCTCCAATTTGTCTAGGTCCTTCTGTATCCTATCCCTCCCCCTCCAGCGTATCTACCACTCCTCCCAGTTTAGTATCATCCGCAAATTTGCTGAGAGTGCAATCCACACCATCCTCCAGATCATTTATGAAGATATTGAACAAAACTGGCCCCAGGACCGACCCTTGGGGCACTCCACTTGATACCGGCTGCCAACTAGACATGGAGCCATTGATCACTACCCGTTGAGCCCGACAATCTAGCCAGCTTTCTACCCACCTTGTAGTGCATTCATCCAGCCCATACTTCCTTAACTTGCTGACAAGAATACTGTGGGAGACCGTGTCAAAAGCTTTGCTAAAGTCAAGAAACAATACATCCATTGCTTTCCCTTCATCCACAGAACCAGTAATCTCATCATAGAAGGCGATTAGATTAGTCAGGCATGACCTTCCCTTGGTGAAGGGATCATCGGATGCATGCACTTCATCGGATGCATGCTGTGGAAAATACATAAGACGTTTTTATACACACAAACCATGAAAAAATGGGTGATTATCACTACAAAAGGTTTTCTCTCCCCCCACCCCACTCTCCTGCTGGTAATAGCTTATGTAAAGTGATCACTCTCCTTACAATGTGTATGATAATCAAGGTGGGCCGTTTCCAGCACAAATCCAGGGTTTAACAAGAACGTCTGAGGAAGTGGCCGGGGGGGAGGCAGGAAAAAACAAGGGGAAATAGGTTACCTTGCATAACGTATTTGGGGGAGGGGGTGGGGGGGAGAAAACCTGGATTTGTGCTGGAAATGGCCCACCTTGATTATCATACACATTGTAAGGAGAGGTTTCAGAGGAACAGCCGTGTTAGTCTGTATTCGCAAAAAGAAAAGGAGTACTTGTGGCACCTTAGAGACTAACCAATTTATTTGAGCATGAGCTTTCGTGAGCCACAGCTCACTTCATCAGATGTGTACCGTGGAAACTGCAGCAGACTTTATATACACACAGAGAATATGAAACAATACCTCCTCCCACCCCACTGTCCTGCTGGTAATAGCTTATCTAAAGTGATCAGCAGGTGGGCCATTTCCAGCACAAATCCAGGTTTTCTCACCCTCCACCCCCCCCCACAAATTCACTCTCCTGCTGGTGCTAGCCCATCCAAAGTGACAACTCTTTACATAATCAAGTCGGGCTATTCTGTATCTGTACAAGTTTTTTCATGCAGTTGATAGATTTCCACTCCATACGGCTAAATGCAGTGCCTTGCATAATGACAGGTTTCAGAGGAACAGCCGTGTTAGTCTGTATTCGCAAAAAGAAAAGGAGTACTTGTAGCCCGACTTGATTATGTAAAGAGTTGTCACTTTGGATGGGCTAGCACCAGCAGGAGAGTGAATTTGTGTGGGGGGGTGGAGGGTGAGAAAACCTGGATTTGTGCTGGAAATGGCCCACCTGCTGATCACTTTAGATAAGCTATTACCAGCAGGACAGTGGGGTGGGAGGAGGTATTGTTTCATATTCTCTGTGTGTATATAAAGTCTGCTGCAGTTTCCACGGTACACATCTGATGAAGTGAGCTGTGGCTCACGAAAGCTCATGCTCAAATAAATTGGTTAGTCTCTAAGGTGCCACAAGTACTCCTTTTCTTATTGTAAGGAGAGTGATCACTTTACATAAGCTATTACCAGCAGGAGAGTGGGGTGGGGGGAGAGAAAACCTTTTGTAGTGATAATCACCCATTTTTTCATGGTCTTTGTGTATAAAAACATCTTCTGTATTTTCCACAGGATGCATCCGATGAAGTGAGCTGTAGCTCACAAAAGCTTATGCTCAAATAACTTGGTTAGTCTCTAAGGTACCACATTACTCCTTTTCTTTTTGCAAATACAGACTAACATGGCTGTTACTCTGAAATCAGTCTAAGGAGGTGGTGTGGCCATGTGGCCTAGACTGAAGGAAGAATGAGGCCCCCAGGGGGTCTGGCCCACTGAAGAGTCCTTCCAGAGACTGTGCCCGAGCTGAGGCCATAGCACTGATCCTGTGGAGCCGTGACAGGTGGTGGCAGAGGTGGGATCCAGGATGCACCAGAATTTTTTTTGCAATAAGTGACTTGTGTCACCGAGTGTGGGGGAGTCTAGGCCCTGCACCCCTCTTCCTGGGATTCACTGAGGCTCTCAGCCAGCCAGTAAAACAGAAGGTTTATTGGACAACAGGAACACAGTCCAAAACAGAGCTTGTGGGTACACCCAGGACCCCTCAGTCACGTCCTTCTGGGGGAGCAGGGAGCTTAGACCCCAGCCCTGGGGTTCCCTGCGTTCCACCACCCAGCCCCAAACTGAAACTAAACTCCCCCAGCAGGCCCCCTCCTGCAGCCTCTGTCCACATTCCCGGGCAGAGGTGTCACCTCCCCCTCCCGCTCCTGGCTCAGGTGACAGGCTCTCAGGTCTCCCATCCCCAGGGCACATTCCCAGGTCAACACCCCCTCCCTCCCCCCCGCTGCGTCACATCGTCACATCTCTCCCCCCTTCGAGACTGAACTGAGCGGGGTCACTGTGACCAGTGACCTGGGGAAGTTCGGGGCCCCCTCTCCGGGACAGCGCATCCGCTATCAGGTTGGCTCTTCCCTTCACGTGGACCACGTCCATGTCGTAATCCTGCAGGAGCAGGCTCCATCTCAGGAGTTTGGCGTTGGCTCCTTTCATCTGGTGCAGCCAGGTCAGGGGCGAGTGGTCGGTGTA